TGTTTGATTTTTTTTTGGCCCGATATCACAGTGTGTGTAGTGTTCAACCGAGCTCTCAGCCTGTGAATGAGATGTGAAGCCAATCAGAAAGCGAGGTGACGTAAACATGGAACTATGGAATTGTTTTTCCTCTGGTAAAAATACTCCACAAACGATCAACATTGTTTCTTCCTTGTTGCAAATGTTTATTTACTCTGAACTCACGTCTCTGGAGGTCACGTGAGATTTTTCCTCTGACATCTGAATTCTCGTGAGATTTCAGGAAGTCTCGCGTGATTTAATATCTGACAKCTGAATGTTCATGAATGAAATATTCCGTGTGTGGTGTGTTGTCTCTTGCTGTGTGACTGTACACCACACACTGTAGGACCAAACCTRGTAGATTTTTTATCCTCACATGTGGGCTCTCTCAGTCTTTGAAAATCAGCCAACTGTTTTAAAATCTTGCAGTGTGACGCAGCCTTAAGTCTAGCTTCAACAACTGTCTCCCATATCTTCAGAGAGGCTGGTTTACAAATAAACCAAATATTAAGCCTGAAAGTGTCTTGAGTTTGATTTTAAGATGATTGRCAATATTTGTTGACCTCTTTTAGCATAAAAGGTTGATTGAGTTTTAATGGGTTAATTTGATTAATTTTTGAAGRGGACATATCATGCAAAATCCACTTTTTTAGCTGTTAAATACACTTCATTGTGTACTTGGAGTCTCTAGAAGTGCAGAAAAGTTGAATTTAGTCTCTCTGTGCTGCATCTTTATATTCTGTTTGAGTCACATTTTTCAATCGTTAAGTTTTCTTTATTCACAATAACATTTTGGAAACTATTACGTCACAGTAACGGAGCTGCCAAGTAAGTAAGACTCTGGCTCCAACATGTAAACGCTGGATGGACAAGGCTTCCCTTGTTGACATCTTTTTATTAATTTGTAAATAAAATGTYTCTGCAACTCGTATCTCTGCTATCAAACTACAAAATTGTCCGAACAGGATAGAATGGACCGCTCTGCGAGCTGGAGGGGAGAGGGGCGTAAAGTGCCTCGTTTGGATTTACATTGAGACAGCCTCAAAACGAGTTGATCTGAGACACACCTTGGAAAAGGGATGAAAGAGGGGCTTGTGGAGTTAMAATAAGGTGTTCACACCAAAGCATTGCCGTTCCACTTTGATTTAAATGTGAAAAAGAAGTATTTCAAATCATGACATGTCTCCTTTAAGAACATTATATAAATCCATTTTCTGCTCAATGCAATTCTTTCAAACAATGCATGTTATATTTTAGTCTGTATCCATCAGTTTGCTTTTATCACAGTTTATTTTATTATTTCTCTAACTACAGAATTGGAGATTGTGACCTTTCAGAGACTCACTGGGAAGTTTTGGCCTCAGCTATGAAATCCAACCCTTCCCTTCTAAAGGTTCTGGATCTGAGTAACAATATTAACCTGGAAAACTCTGGACTGACTCATGTKTGTTCTGGACTAGAGAGCTCAAACTGTAGGCTGGAGGTTCTGAGGTCAGTATTCTGAATCTGATGTAGGTTTTTTAAGTATTATTCATCCATCCATTTTCTTTTACCTGCTTCTTCCTTTTTGGATTAATTGGGGTTAATGAAGACCATGTCCAGCAGTCACTGTGCGGGGGYGGGGTACACCCTGGACTAGTCACAGGTCCATCACAGGGCGGTTTTATGTTGATCTAAATCATCAATTGATAATTACTGTTCGCTGCCATGAAAGGCAGCCAAAATTGTAATAGTGTTTGTGTCTGTTAATTTGTTTGTTTATTTACAATATGTTTGTTTTAACCTTTAAATAAATGGAGTACYAAACTGGATTAAATATAAAATGCAAGTTTATTGTGCTTAGGCAGATCTTATTTAAAAAATTGTAAATTGTTTTAATGCACATTCATTTCTTCATTCATTCATTCATTCAGATTGGAAAACTGTGACCTGACAGAGATCAGCTGTGCTTTACTAGTCTCTGCTCTGAAGTCCAACCCCTCCCACCTGACAGAACTTGACCTGAGTAACAATGAGGATCTGACAGATTCTGGAGTGCAGGAACTCWGTGGTTTTCTGGAGAGTTCCCACTGYAAACTAAAGACTCTGAGGTCAGTTCACTGCCTCTGGTGTATGCATTTATTTGTCAAAGACCACCATTCGTTACATTCAATCAAATTTATTCATTATGTTGTCAGAATTTTGTTCATAGTTCTGTTTTAATCTGCATTCTGTTGGCTTTGGTTGACATGTTTGGTTCTTTATTCAGATTGAGGAGCTGCAGTTTGTCAAAGATCAGTTGTGCTTCACTGKTCTTAGCTCTGAAGTCYAACCYCTRCACTCTGACAGAACTAGACCTTAGTTTCAACAACCTGCAGGAACCAGACATTCAGCAGCTGCTGGATCTTGTAGAGAATCCCGTCTACAAACTGGAGACTCTGAGGTCAGTRGATGGTTGGAGTTTGTCCAGGTTTCTGTCAGTAGTATTTTTACTAAACCCAGTTAGTATCACAGCAAAGATTCAGTGTTTCCACTAAACCTGCAGCATCTGAGTGGCTGTTTTGCTCTKTGAAGCTGTGAATGGTGACTGGATTCATGATTGAACATAAAAACAGAGATAGTCAACCAATTGGATTATACATAAGCTGATGCGAAGATGACTGTTGTTACTACATTCTTACATCTGTCCTTCTGTCATTTGTTTCATTCAGATCTCTTCAGTGATAGTCTCTGTTTATTGGTCAGCTGTTATTTTAGAAACAGATGAGATGATCACCAATACACATACTTCCAAGCAGCAGTTGACATGCAACTGCAGTGTATTAATCACTACAGCGTTTCTAGATCAATGAAGCCTTCATGACTCTCAGCAGTTTGTTTTCACTGTAGGTTTGAGTGAAACCTGCAGAGAAAACAGACTTGATGCTAAAAGTCTTTGTCTCTTTCCACTGAATGTGCTGCATCACTGACTGAAAGCTCATAAAAAACAGTYAGAAAGCTTAAATTGATCTCATTTGTTCTTCTGTCTTCTCTCTGCAGCTGGAAGTCAGACCCTGGATCAAACTCTGGTGTTGTTGAAATGACTGGCAATGAGCCCAGAAGTGTTAACAATGGGACCTATAAATGCCTTGATGTGTTTGACTATATAACGGATTACGATGATGACTGTGACGATCCAACCGATTGTGACATTGATGACATTGATGACGATGATGACCGTGACGATCCAACTGATTGTGACATTGATTACGATGATGACCGTGAAGATCCAACCGATTGTGACATTGATTACGATGATGACTATGACGATCCAACCGATTGTGACATTGATGACCGCGACGATCCAACCGATTGTGACATTGATTACGATGATGACCGTGACGATCCAACCGATTGTGACATTGATGACGATGATGACTGTGACGATCCAACCGATTGTGACATTGATTACGATGATGACCGCAACGATCCAACCGATTGTTGATTACGATGATGACCGTGACGATCCAACCGATTGTGACATTGATTACGATGATGACCGTGACGATCCAACCGATTGTGACATTGATTACGATGATGACCGTGACGATCCAACCGATTGTGACATTGATTACGATGATG